GGCGACAAGTTTTGATCCCACAACCCGCAGATTGTGATTCCAGCGCTCTAACCACCAGGAAACATGGTAGATTCATCGTTTCTGTTGGTTTTAGTGAAATAATATTTTGCAGATGAGGCAATTGCATTACTTGTGAACGTTGTGACTTAGTATTATTTTCATGTAATTTTGATTTAGAAATATTTATGAATTCTGCGGGATACCACTGGTTGTTTTATCGCGACATTTTTATTGAATAGTATATTTATGTATATATATATATATATGAATTGTGAGTGAAGTACATCTATTTGCAGTGTAACAACATAACTCCGAATTTATTTGTAAAATCGAGCATGATTTTACTTGTTTATTAATATTATGTTTAACTTGTAACCTTATGAATTGCAAGTTTTAGTTAGTGTTTGTAAAGTAGTTGACTCCATTTCTGCGGGCTTACAACGCTAGAAACCGGGTTTCGATACCCGTGGTGGGCAGAGCACAGATAGCATAGATAGCTTTGTGCTTAATTATAAACAAACAAACAGTTATCAAAATTAAATGTCGGTGTGCAATTTATCAACTCCCCATAGAAATCAGTGTTGTTTCAGGTAACTAAAATGTATATTAATGAACATGATTTATGTTCATTAGTAGTAACTATAACTAAAACCTGTTTAAACCCTAATGAAACAGTAACGAAACTGAATTATTTGTTTATTCAGTTGAACATTTTTCAACCCTCATCCCAACAAACATGCTCGCCCTTTCAGCTGTGAAGGCGTTATAATGTGACGATCAATCGCACTATTCGTTAGTAAAAGAGTTCTAGCGCAGTTAGCCCTCGTGTAGCTTTGCGCGAAATTCAAACCAAAACCAAAAAAACATTTTTCAACTATACAATAACTTGTCATTTTATTAAATCTATTATCATTGCATTTCATCTATTTAACCAGAGGGAGCGCTGCCTATGAGCCTAATGTATGAATCTGCACATTGAGCATTCCATGTTTTCAGTACGTGTTGGCATTTAGCTGTTCTTAAGTTATTTTAAGGCTGTTTGTGTCTATATTGGGAGAAAGTTCTTTATTTGTCGAGATTTGACAGCTAGACGGAGCCAGTGTCACTGGAGAGGAAAATTTATATATTTTTCTGAAAATGAATTATAAGTTTCTCTGATACTCACTACGTAATTAATTGAAAAAAATGGGTACGGTTCAATTCGCGTCATTGTTTCTTGAATGCACATAAGAATGCAGCATTTATAACCGTATTTTCCTTTAATGTTTTAAGGGAATTGAAAATAAATTTTCCAGTATTTTTGGCCACAGTTTTATTACATTAACTAATATCTAAAAAAAAGCACTAAATTTAGTTAATTGTAACTATTAATGATAACTAAAAAATTATAACTAAATTACCTATAACTAAAATAAACATCCCCAGGCCTCACAATGGGCCACTCCAAAAATAATATATATATATATGTGTGTGTGTGTGTATATATATAAGGTTTCCTTTTCTAAAATTATAGAGCAAATTGTGGTTTTCCAAATCAAAGCATAAAATTAAACACATATAAATTTATAAATTATTTTATAATAATAAATGTAAAATTTTTACCAAGAAATCCTTTATGTGTGATAACAGAGACTTTACTATATGTAAGTTCTGATAATACTGATAATGAAGTATGAATTATTTCCCCACATCAAAAATACTGCAAGATCGTTATTTACCATGGATCCGTATTTAATAAATACGGTAATAACATGAATAGAATATAAAAATTTAACTTCAATGTTTATGGTTAAAAATATAGGTTTACCTTCATAGTTAAAAGAGTTTAAATGGTTTGTTTCTATGGTATAGTTTAAGCAAAAGTAAAAGATAATAAGGATGAGAACTAAAATAATATTTTATAGGTTTCATTGAAAGGTTCGACGTTTTAACTGTAACTAAAAAAACCCGTTATCTAAATCACACGGATTCGGACTTGGCACACTGCCTCTTAGGTAACCTAACAATGGTGAGAGACATCACATGTATGTGAAATGGCTCTACTAGCTGAGTGGTAAGGTCGTTGTCAGGGTCTGGCTAACTTAATTCTATGTGCACTCTTCCATAGAATATACAATACTGCAATAGACAAATGAGTGCGTTCACAATTGATAGTGTAAATTGAATCACATAAGCTACATTCAGGCAGATCTTTTTTCTCAGGAAAGGTTGGTGTTATGGTCTTTTTTGGTTATCACGGTTTAACTTACATCGTTCATGAACTTCTGACCCATCACAGGTTGTGTTAACTAGGAATTCTCAATCTTGATTTTTGCTATTAAAAGTCACGATTCTTCGATATTGGCTTTCTTAGTTTTAAACCAATCAATGTCAAAATGGAAAAATACCTGGTGTTAGAGTAGATGGTGAGAGAAGATCTGGCTGGAGTACCCAACACTCCTAGATGGAAAACAGACAGCCTTCAGACTACTGACCTGGTGTTAGAGTAGATGGTGAGAGAAGATCTGGCTGGAGTACCCAACACTCCTAGATGGAAAACAGACAGCCTTCAGACTACTGACCTAGTGGGAGAAGACCCACCAAATCAGGCGGAAGGGACTGGCGCTAGAACAACCTCACTTGGTTAATATGTGTATTTTTTTGTATTGATGCCTTAAGTAGTCACGTTGACTAGTTCAGTCGTACATGAAATGATGAACGATTCTCCTTCGTGAGCCCAATGCTAGTGCGGCGTTGCCAGACACAAGCAGTACAATAGATGGAGGCTTGGATCCTGATTTACTTAATAAGGAGCCTGGAAGGCAAGCTGGACGCACACACTAAATCACGTAAGGGAATTTAAGGAATGTAATCAATTATAGATCATTATGGGTCATTGTGAACAGGAAAATAATGAAATATGTAAATTAAGGAATATGATCGGTTTAAGATATTTACAGGCAGCAAAATAATGAAATATGTAAATTAAGGAATATGATCGGTTTAAGATATTTACAGGCAGCAAAATAATGAAATATGTAAATTAAGGAATATGATCGGTTTAAGATATTTACAGGCAGCAAAAAAAATGAAATATGTAAATTATAATCGGTTTA